TGTTTCATATTGCTAGAACTGTTGCAGTAGGCCGTCTCCCCTTGTTGCAGTTTAGCTAAATTTGTCTAAATTATTCATTGCACACTAAAGGTTCTCCACTAACTAGTCCTCCTTTGTAAATTGTGTTTGTTTCTGTAAGGGTTGCTTCCAAATGCTTAGCTGTCCCCCGTGACAGCCAGCAACACCGGGTGTGTTTTCCCTTGGCCAGGGAGTATGCTTTTGAGCAGTTCTCCCTTTCCTCACGCCATGCGTGCACATCACAGAGCCGCATCAGGGGTTATGAACCGAATTTCGTTCGGCATAGACTACACCAGCGTGCTTGAGCGCTGCTACTGCCTAATGCAGCTGCAGCCTTCACGTGCCATTCTTATAGGGGTTTCTTTATTACAAGAAGGATAGCGTAATGCATTCCCTTGTCACCAGTGCTGCATAAAGCAGCAAGCACTGGATTGAGGAAGCAGTCTCCTGTGAGAAGGGCATGACCACACCAGCTAGCTCTTCCGTGCTGAGGGCTGCTTTTTCACAGGATCACGCAAGTGAAGTGAAGTGCCGCAATTTATACAGTCCTATGCGTGTACGTAGACTGATGCATGTATTTGCAGCACCAAAGATGAACGTTGCACTCGCCCATGGGTGGGCAGAGCACTCGGCAAGACGGGCACATCTTGTGCAGGCAGCATGCACAAAGCGATTACATCCCATAATGCTATGAACACCCAACTCCCTAGTCCTACTCGTTCTGCGTTGCTGTGCGTGCCCCTTGTTTCCTCCGAGCCGCTCCTTGTGCCTACCTGGACGGCCCCTCTGCTTCATGCGCTCTAAGAAATGGATAAGAGCCCGAGTGGCAGTTTTGTTTCCCCACCAGTATGGGATCGCAGGCCACAGCTCGCAGTGCTCCTCCACTTCCATGTCCTCTTCGTACGAGACTATAGCCTGATGGCCACGCTGCCACATGGTCCGCAGTGTCGGCACCACCTAAGAGAAAGCGTGCCTGGGTTGAAGTCAGCAACACAGCAGCATTCCCAAAGTTCACATACTGAACGTGTGACGTTGCCTTGGCAGAGGCAGTTCAAATAAAACTTCTAAGCATATAGCTCAGTAGGTTGTTGGCTGGGTTACAAGCTGCAGTGGCAATGGGAGCATGGGAACTTCCACAAATTCCTCCTTATCATAGAATCATTAAGGCTGGAAAAGACCTCTAAGATCATCAAGTCCAACCGTCAACCCAACACCACCGTGCCTACTAAACCATGTCCCAAAGTGCCACATCTACACGTTTTTTGAACAACCCCAGGGATGGTGACTCCACGACCCCCCTGGGCAGCCTGTTCCAATGCTTGACCAGTCTTTCAGTGAAGAAATTTTTCCTAATATGTAATCTAAACATCCCCTGATGAGGGAGGTTTCCTCCCTTTCCTCGAACTGTTCAACTATGGTAAAGTACATAACTTATCTTACACCCATGTAAGAAGAAATCAGCCCTCGTGCACATACTGCTGCTGAAAATTTGTTGGGAGAGGAAGACACAGGCCATTTGGCAAAAGGAGGTAGGAGAGGGGCCAAGTCCTACACCCAGCTGTAGGAAAACAGACACACAGAAGCAGGAATAATTTTGGCAAATGCCCCACATCGATCCAAATTTGTGGCTGTAGCCATCAAAGAAAACTGAACTGCTTAAGACTTGGTAAGACTAGATGTAAGTCTTCAAGAGATGCATTCCAATTTCTGATAATTCTGATTTCTCTAAGTGGAAAGTTTCTGAAACTGGGGTGCCCCAGACATTTTGAATTGAGAGAGGGGAAGACTTGAGTCAGAAACCTCAGACAGACAGACAGGCTGAAACAGGTATTTAAGTGTTTCAGTAAGAAGTGACATTTTCCGATCCTCAAAAGTTACCATCACACATAATTGCAGCCCTTGGACTAGTTTTAATTTGCGAAACCAACATATTTAACAGGTATTGTTTAAGAATGTTGTGGTTAAAAGCTGTATCTGTTGCTTGTGAAAAGAAAGCGGTGGCTTTTTGATGTTCCAATTAACTTATTAAAATAAAAGCCAAAGGCAGTTGAAAATGTTATGTAAATCTTTGAAAAGAGCCGAGGGTTGAATGAATGTGGGAATCCCTCTGACTTCATCCAAGAGAGAGTGCAAGCCCCAATTAGGTCAGAAAATACTCCGAAATTAACACACAAGCTACTCAAACTACAAAAATCTGTGGTTGACAAGCCTTTGCTTTACTCCAGTTGCCTTTCTGAAGCTGAAATCTCAAAAAAAAAAAAAAAAAAAGTGTGGGATAAGAGCCAAAGAAAAAAGCTACCAGAAATATGTACAGGAGCACAGGTGCTTATTTTGCAAACAAAGCAGAAGTGAAACTGTAGATATCTAACAAGGGATTTTTAAAATCTTAGTAACCCACATCAAAGGAAAACACCTTGAATAGTTAAGGCAATTAAAATTTTATAGAGAATGTAATGTTGTCATGCTGTGGCCTGTGCCAGTACTACATACAGATCTCTACTTAGCAGTTGCTTCCTAAATACTTTGACACTTAACTATTTTTACAACAGAGTTGCAGTCTTGAAAGACAGTAGATACCAGATTATTTTAGAATAAGTGAGCAAGCACGTGGTTGGCTGATGTTAAATCTGACTCTGTGATCCTGAAAAACCCCACAGCTACCTAACCTGCAATGACATCACTTGCAAAACGGTGAGATCCATTGTGGTTGTCACAGACCCCATAGAGATAAAGTGTTCCTGCTTGAGGGAAGTGCTTGGCTTCTCTTTTCTCCAGTGCCCTTCCTCCTCCCGTCTGGACATCCCTTGGAAACATTCTTCTTTCTTCAGTCAAGTGATCTCAAACCATTCATTCATCATCTTCGTACAATGAACTATCAGCAGCAGTTTGCCCCTTTTGCAACTAAAATCTTTTTTCTTTTTAAGAGCTGGCCATGTGTCTGAAAGCCAATTTGGCCATCTTCTCCAGTATTGCTCTCCTCATCCACGACTTACGCACTCAAGGTATTTGGGGAAAACAATAAAACGGTGTCACTCAGGTCTTCAGTTATTCATCTGAGGCCTCAATATTCAGAATCCCCTAGTTTTGCTGAGAATTGTTCTATTTTAACTCTGCTGTACAAAACACTTTGAAATGGTAATACTCACCCGCTACTGACACACCAGCTTCAAAGGCTGAATTCGAATCGCAAACAGGGTCATCATTATCCTGTACCCCTCACATCTCCAGAGAAAACCCTCTGTTCCTGTACATCTTTGAAATGTTAATTGTTTAACTGCTAAAAGCTCCCATACCTTGTAAAAAACAGAAGAAGCTAAAAACCTCAACTTCTAAAGTTTGGCAATCAAACAATTTCTGATTATTTAAATTAAGGCTTTTCTGGAGGATTGGGTGACTGGAAGCACGTTAGGCTGGTTGGAAGGTCAGCTCCAGCTCACATCCAGGAAAGAAAGTCACTGCCACCAGAAATGCACCGAGAGCAGAGATGTTAAGAGGGACCTCAACAGGCTGGAGACATGAGCCGACAGAAACCTCATGAAGCTCAAAGGAAAATGCAAAAGTTCTGCACCTGGACAGACAGACCCTATGCACCAGGACAGACTGGGGGCAGGTGGGTAGAAAGCTTCTTTGCAGAAAAGGACCTGGAAGTCCTAGTGGACACCAAGCTGAACATGAGGCATTAATGTGCCCACGTGACAAAGGTCAACTGCAAACTGGTCTGTGTTAGTAAAGGCACGGAGAGCAGGTCAGGAGAAGGGGTTCTTCCCTTTTATTCAGTACTTGTGGGACTGCATCTCAAGTACTGTGTCCAGCTGGGGCTTCCTCAGTACAAAAAAAGTCATTGACATGCTTGAGCGAGTCCAGCAGCACGCAACCAGAGCGAGCAGAGGATGAAGCGTGACTTGCAAGCACAGGCTGAGAGAGCTGGATCTGTTCAGCATGAAGAGGAGAAGACTCCAGGCAGCAGTGAGACCTGTCCATAAACACTTAACAGGCAGATGTAGAGAAGACTTCTCAGAGATGCATAGCAAAAGGATGAAAGTCAGCAGACACAAGTTACAGCAAGAGAAATTCTGATTAGATAGACAGAAGGAAAACATGTTTACTGTTAGAGTGGTCAAATGCTGGACCAAGCTGCCTAGAAAGGTTGTGGAATCTCCAGCCTTGAAGATATTCAAGGATGGACAGGACGCAGCCCAACATAGTGTTGAAGTTGGTCCTGCTTTACATGGTGGAGCTGAACCAGATGACTTCCAGAGGTTACTTCCAACCTAAGCTATTATAAATAGCATAAAAATTCATCTATAATTACTGCTGTGAAAAGGCAGAAAAGGGATTCTTTAAATACTATAAATATAGTATAGACTACATTTATAAACACACACACTTTTTTTTTTTGTAACACAACTCAGACAGGACAGTGGATGGCAGTTGTGTCCCTACTATTGTCCCACAACTCAACAGACATGACAATCAAATTTAACTCCCTCCTCCACACTGTGGCATGTAGGTTTGCTTTATCTACTCCCACTCAATTTTATCAGGTAGAGACCTATCTCTGATGTAGTAAATGTTACTTTTCTTATGTTAAAAACATAGTGAAAGTAGAATATATCTAAAAATTTGGGATCCAAGATCTCACTGTAATATACCATCCTTAAAAATTAGGAAAAATGGATCTAATACTTACATTTCTGGGACACAGTTTACACTGGAAAATCTCTTTTATACAGGCAATAAGATGACAGTGAAGTTTCTTGCTTAATCCATCAAAATTCCTGCAGGCTAAGATAACAACTTCCTGAGGATGCGTTTCCAACCACCTTAACACTTCCCACAGAATATCCTACGAGAGAATTACGGCAACTTAGAAAGTCATCTATGCTATGCAGGGGAAAGGACATAAACCCAACAGAGCATTGATGGTAGGTAGGGTAGACTCACAAATCACAACAATAAAAGTCAGCGTAGGTTTCTGGAGGATAGACATCTGACGGCCCACAAGGTGATGCAGAGAGACGTACCCCAAGAAAACCTACTTTGTGCAGGTCTGTGCTGGTTTGCTCTGGATGCGGATCTAGCACACTACACTTAGCAGCTTTGTGTTTTGATAATATCCATGAAACTCCTACTGCCTAGAGGCAGGTTAGCAGTAAACTCATCTTGCCAAGCTTCTTTAAGGACAAACAACGTGTTAGTGGCAAACTCAAAACCAGGGAAAAGCTCTGTCCTTGCTTAAGCATGACAGGACCTGTTTTCCTCATTTGTTATGGGCAGTGACAACTTCCTGAAGACTGCGTGTAACTAGCAGGGTAGTCAGGCACTACATCTCACCGTTTACACGAGCACGCCAGTCAACATGAAATCTCAAGGCACGAAAGGGCTCAGGCACACGAGCATGAAACTGAAGTTTAGCCAGTTAGTCTGCAAACGAAAAGCGGCATTAGCTGGCTGTGCCTGCCTGTACAGGTCCCAGCAACTGGGAAAAAAATGTAAACTAGTCCACAGTGACAGACCACGTGTAAAGAGCAACTCACAGTAGTTTATTCATAGTAGCTGACAGATTGTGGGACCTGGACTTGAGACTCTTTGCCTTTCAGTGAAATACCTTTTCCTCAAGAAAAAAAGTGTTTCTGTGATTTTTATTAGGCTTTTAGTACCTTTTTTCCTTTAATAACTTCTCTTCTTACCAGGGAAACAGGATTGCCCTGGGTAGCACCCTGGACAACACAAGATAAACCCCAGAAACACCAGACACCTGGTAGGAGATAGGTGGTGGAGAGCAAGGCACAGCAACTCCGGTTTGAGGATGAGGAATTGATTGATGCTCCAGTCTCGCTTGCAGCTGCTGAAACTAACTTCCAGCCCTGCTGATTTTCTCTAGCTTGAAGTCCTCACATTAGGAAAACAAATAACCCACTCAGAAAACCTTGAACCAGCATTTTCAGATTATAATGTCTCTTAAATAAAAGAAACAACACTGGTTTTATAGCCATCCCAAAAGTAAGGAGAATACCTGTACAGTAATAGTTGTGTAAACCATATGCACGAAGTACAACGTCAAAGATGGATCATTAGCCTTGTGTGCAATCCTAAAATCCAGATACCTAACTCCAGCCTCAAGTTGCTCCGTCACAGTCAGTACCTGAAGGTGAAACAGAAGACAAAGGTCCTGAGAGCTTGGAAGAGATTTGCACCTTTTGTTCAGAAAGCCAAAGGAAGCGTACAAAGTTAGCTCTATGACATTTTTCACAGGTCTTTCATCTTTTAAATGGCACTATATGGCACCAACTTGCAACTTTGAAGTATTTTACTGTCTGACGAGAGGCAACCTGATTTCCCTACGGCATATACTGCAGGTACAGATTACATTAGTTTCAGACCCCTGCCCTTGTTGCGTTCTGAAAGTTAAAGATCCATTAACCTGTGTGTAAATACACAATCGCTCTTCACAAGAGTATTTGTATGAGCAAAAATTGCAGAATCATCACCTTAGAAATGCTGTACTCGTTTTATTAGATCAAAGACTTTATCATGGTTGTCTCTGCGGAGCTCACTCATCCTCAACAGACGGAAAAACAAAAATAGAAAAAAGTACTGGCAATTGTTCTTTTTCAGGATAAAGTCTCTTTACAAGTTTGATTTAACCTGTAGAAGTCCCACAAAACAGAGGTTCTCCTCTGTTTTGACTTTCCCTTGGACCTCTCCTACCGGATTTGAGGGCTGAATGGAACAGGTGATAAAGCTGAATTTTTGGGGCAAAAAGTCCCAAATGATGTGTCTCTTACCTATATCAAGGCTCTCTTTGTGTAATAAAATAGCATCAATTTAATTAAAAGCGTTTAAACACTGATTTGTCTCAGTTCAGCCTGCTACGGACAACACTTTTAGGTTTCAGAACGAATACGCTGTACAGATTTAAGCTGGAAAGGATTCAACAAAAGCGAAATCAATACAAGGCGCTGCACCCGAATAACCACATTCATAGCTCCAGTGCTGAGACAGAGCTTAGACACACGGCTGGATGCTCACCCTGCCTAGCATCTAACTTTCTGTTCTTAGGATGGGAATTTAACCCCCCCAGGCTGTGCCTGAGCCACAGGGCTGGGGAACAGCCCTGCCTGGCACGCCCCGGGGCGCAGGTGGTGTGGTGGGCTTGGGCCAGCAGCTCCCTCCATGCCTGCTTGGTCTCCTCTGGGCTGGAACAGTTGAAGAACTGATCCGTGTCCAAGTCCCACCTTCGCTTGGAGCATGCTGGAGGTGGGAGTGTATATGGCTGTAGGTTATATATAACCTTTGTGGCCAGAAAACACCAGATGAAATGGCTGCTCTGAACTGCCCTTTGGGTTAATTAGTTTCTTCCTGTTGACTGCATAGGAAAACTAGACAAATGAGACTCTAATTGGTCATCTAGGTTTGGATACTGAATTAGTGTGAACATTGCCCCCCCATGGCAAAATTTAAGAGGAAGCCTTGGGGAGCGATGCTGCTTAGTCCTGCAACCTCACACCAGACATCCAGGGAATGAGCAGAAGTTACACACCTGACATCAGCCATTGCACAGGAAAGATTTGGGCCTCTGGAATGACACCCATAACAGCCAGCGCTCAAGCCAGGCACCGCCTCCTAGGCACTGGGCCACCCAGGAACCTGTGGGTCCTACCATCAGTAGGGCTCCTTGATATCTGTTCTGGATGCCAATGGGTGGAGTCAGCGCCTCACAAAGACAACTCCAGCGCCGCAGAGCTAAGGAGGGGCAGGATTGCAGCCCTGCCTCTTTCCCACCAGCACCAGGCCACTTCCTGCTCAGCACGCTGGGTTCGGACCAGAAAATTGCCATAACGATGTGAGGAGCTTGTTTGTCGCCAACAGGGTCACTTCACTGGCCAGCAACCCACAAGTTAGGAGGTATCTACATCTTTCATTGGCTTAAGTCCCAAAGCAAAAAGCAACTCAAGACAAGGCACTGTGCTAAGCGAGTGCCTTTCCACACCAACTCATCACTCCCATTACATATTCGATATCTGGTAGTGTCTGAGGTGCCAGTTTGCCAGGGCTTCAAACACAACAAAAAGAAGCCTAGGCATAATTATTGCCATTTATCAATTATTCAGTTCTAATTCCCTAATAATGAACTACTACTTCAATAAGAACGGAAATTAAAAGATTTCTGGCATCAAAGAGGTACCAAAAAAGTCTGTTCTTTAGAAAAATCTTCAAAAGCTACAGCTTAAATCATGATCCACAATTTTGTCTTTAACATACACTTGTGAGGAACAAAGAGATAAGTACTAGCTTAATTTTAGACTTTTTAAAAATTAACTAAACTTTACATAAGGGACCACACCTTAATTCTCTTAATCTTTATGTAAAAAAACCTCCTTTCAACAAGATTTTTGTCTCTGCTGCTGGGTTAAATACTCACACAATATAGATGGGGAAAACAACTGACATCACACAACAGCGACAGTAAAAATGAACAAAGTGCAAGTGCTTTTGATTATAATAATATTAAATGTTATCTATAACAACAATAAACATGTGAAAAAGAAGACAAGTTTCTAGTACCAAGTAGTCAGCTTTAAGCAACATCTTTGTTTATGTATCATCCCCACCTCACTTACAGGCTTGTTCCCCACAAAAGAAGATCTGGTATCTATAGCACCTATCTCATACCCCAATGTGCTGGTTTTGGCTGGGACACAGTTAATTTTCTTCATAGTAGCTAGTACAGGGCTATGGTTTGGATTTGGGCTGGAAACAGCATTGCTAACACAGGGATGTTTTTGTTACTGCTGAGCAGTGCTCACACAGAGCCAAGGCCTTTGCTGCTTCTCACACCACCCCACCAGCGAGTGGGCTGGGGGTGCACAAGGAGTTGGGAGGGGACACAGCTGGGACAGCTGACCCCAACTGACCAAAGGGGTATCCCATACCATATGACATCATGCTCAGCATGTAAAGCTGGGGGAAGGAACAGGAAGGAAGGGACATTTGGGAAGACAAACACCATCACTCCAAGTAACCATTACGCATGATGGAGCCCTGCTTTCCTGAGATGGCTGAACACCTGCCTGCCCATGGGAAGTAGTGAATAAATTCCTTGTCTTGCTTTGCTTGTGCGCGTGGCTTTTGCTTTACCTATTAAACTGTCTTTATCTCAACCCACGAGTTTTCTCACTTTTAATCTTCCGATACTCTCCCCCATTCCACTGGAGGGGAGCGAGCAAGCAGCTGCGTGGGGCTGAGCTGCCAGCTGGGGTTAACCCACAACACCCAAGAACAGTACGCCATGAAAGCGCAGATTTCCGGGCAGCAGGCTGTTCTTTCATTGTGCACAGGAGAGCATGAGGACTCTCAGCACACAATTCAACTTTGCCCAGGCATGACGAGAACGTGAGACAACAGTTACCTGTGTTGTAGACCACTTCATGATAATGGGGTGCACAATGCAGGGTATACATTTGTTTAAGAACTTCACCAGCTTGGATTCATTGCCACTAACAGCGGAGTTTTTATCCAAGCAGTACGTCATAGTGTCGTGACTCCCTGTAGAACACAAAAATACATGTACAGAAAATGGCATTTCTTAACTACTCAAGCACCACAATACATGGTTATATTGCATGTGCACACCGGATGTGCCATCCCATTTCCAAATCACACACCTATATTGCCTGACAGCCTACGTAGTTACGGAAAAAAGGTGGGCTCTTCTACAAAGGTTGCTCACCTGACATTAATAAGCTTCGTGTAAAATCCTTGTCAAGGGAAGGCATTGAGACTTTTCAATAAAGCAGTCCCCATCTAAACTAGACATCATTGTTGTTTACCTCGAAGCACAATAAAATGGCCTGCTTCAACAAGCATCTTCCACTGAAATAATTATCTTGATGTGAAAACCCACTTTTTTCAGGGAATAAATAGCTGAAGGCTGAATTTATCTAGAATTTGTACTGTTTAAAGAGTTGTCCAAATGCAGGATTTCGTACTCCAATCCTATCATCTCTGCACAGGAAAATATGACTGAAAGCAGAAATTCATCTTCTTACACCTTTGAGTGGACCACCTTGGTACTTTAAGCATTTATATCTTAAATATCTGGTAAAAATGCCCTCCTGAACTAAACACCCACATCCCCTACAAAACCAACATAAGAGGTGGGTGCTTAAAAGGTTTCAGAGGCAAATCCAAGTCTAAGTTTACACGTGATAGATGGACAAGATCCACGTCTTATGGACTTCAAAAACCACCTCTTTCCAAAACAAGGAATTACATAGGGACAGGCTTAAGCATCAGAGCCAAGTACAGCCTGCCCAAATATTTGCCTTCTTTGAAGTCTTAATAAATCTGACGCATCTCTTGCATCATGTTTAGATGAAACTCTGTTGCAACTCACAATTTCTTCAGGACAGGCAGCCAGTGATTTTGCTAGCTTTTTCTGTGCCATTATTTCTTCTAATTTTATAAACCATCAGTAAGAAAAGCTAACAATTCAGTAAAGTGACTTGCTGGGATCTTTACAGAGTATCTGCAGGGAAATTGCATATCATTTTGATGTTTTAAGTCTTCTTCCAAGCAAATTGTTCACTGGTGCTAGGAACTGCCTTCTTGAATGGTCAGTCTTACTGGTGCCAATGGCAATATTTCTAGTAGCCAAAGTAAAAAGACAAGATTGTATTTGAAATAAAGAAAATTCTTCGAAACTGTCAATAATAGTTTAATGTTGCACTCAATTTTTTTACCTTTTAAAATCTGGTTTCTGTCTACTTTCATGCTTTAAACACCCAAACCAAGCTCATTGCAGATGGAAGATCAATAATGATGGCATGCAATCAAAGAAGTTTATCTTACAAGATGTAAGAGTCAAACCATTAAATACCCATGGATCAAATCCAAGTCTGAGAGAAGCGAACAGGATTCCATCAATGGGCATTGTATCTACTGATGCCAATCAGCAAACGGATAGTAACCCGTCATTTAGGAGTCTTCTTGTGACGTCAGTGAGATACAGTAATGAAAGGAAGATGGGTATATCCATGACACAACAAATACGATGCAAAGATAGTGAGCTAGCACCAAACCAGGTAGCTTCAGACCTTGAAGCAACATCTCCCCAGCAGCACTGTGCTGAACCTGGTGCAAACACAACACTAATTACTGAGACTTGCCTCTGTCTCCTCATCATGCTTTCAGAATGCACTCTCTCACATTTCTTGCATGCCTTGTTGTCTTCTCTACCTGAGATAAGCTTCCATTTCCAAACTGAGCCTCCCTCAGTCATTGCTTCCTCTGAAAACCTGCCAAAGCTGTCTTGACCTGCTTTTGCTCTGACCTGGACTAGAAGAGTTTTGTAGGTCAGCTGGACAGCCACCAAAATCTTTCAAGCTAATAGCCGGCAATGCTCTGTAAAAGTCCTCCAATGTTTGCTGAAATGGGCTTTTCTTCACACCTGTTCTCCATGCAGGCATATTCACAAGAACAACAAGGTCATTGTTACGGGAAGAGCCAGGAAGTCAAAGGCACACATCAGCAAGTTCTCAGCTTTCTACAACATCCACTGTGAAAGCTTTTTTAGAAACAACATCGTTCCTTTTCCACCAAAAAAAAGCCACTGAGCATGCTACTGACTTTTTGAAGGATTTTTGCAAGGAGGGGGAAGAAGAGAACATGACCTTCTTTCTTCTGTCATAAGATAGCTATTTAACCATCAAGAGAAGAAAATAAGTAAGAAATCTGGGTTTTCTTTATAACATCTGTCCTGGGGTCCTTTCACACAGGATTTATCGAAACCAGAGATGCGCTTGTTTTGAAGTTAACATCAATTTAAATTACATATCCAAGTAGTCACCATGAAATAAGCTTCTGGGTTTCAATTTTAACCAAAACTCCACACTCCATTAGTTCACGGGGGCGGGGGGGGGGGAAGAACCATCCACCACAGTTCTTAGGTCCTCCCAAGGGCTCCATCCACTGAAGACAAGATTTTATTTTCCCACTATCTCTAAAGATACATCTTTGCTAAAGTTAACCTACAATCCTGTAGCCTACATAAAACATTCATCCACACACTGTGCTGCTTACCACCCAAACTACCTGTCGCATCTACAAGTGCGAGAGAAAACATGGGCTAGCCTTTTCTTTAGTACCATTTTTATTGTGGAGGCAAAGGGAACCACTCAAGAGGTGAGAGTCCTCCAGTGCCTCCCCACGTGTCAGTGAAAACAGGTTCTCCCGTAACTTCTTTGGACAGAATGAAGAAAAAAACCCAAACTAATCTTCTATTCAAGGCAGCAGGGAAAAGCAGTAATATGTAAAAAGGTTAATGATATACAGGTCTGAATGTAGTACCAATGAGGACACCAGCCACAGCGCAGTTTTTGTAAGCAGGGTCACGCAGAAAATTCAACCTCTTTGTTAACAAATGTTTTTATTAAAGTCCCCACCCTCTCTTTTTCATACCGCTCCAGCCTCTTTTAAACAGTACAAAAACAAATAAGGTAAAATGCTATTTCTGTCCTTTTGGAACCATTTTATTGTGTAGGAAGTGGCAAGAACTTATTAGGAAAATCTCATCATGGCCCAGATAAGCAAACACTCAGATTATTAACACTGATCTGACTTATTTGCACAGTGACTGCAAAAAAGTCCCTCTTCCTTTCCCTTCCAAAAAAGGAAAAAAAAAAAATCCTTTTTTTCCCCCTGCCCCTCTAAGAAACACCAAACACTACAGACTAAAAATATTCACATACACATCACACAAACCCTCCCCCAAGCCCTTCTCCCACACACTGACCCAAATAATAAAGGTAGCCATCCTGAAATGGGACAAACAGGATGCTCCAACGCTTAAATGACATGCTAACAAAACAGCGGAGAACAAAAGTTGATCTCTACCTGGAAGAGCTAAGTTATAGAGGGGAATATCCCAGAGCTTCTCTGGTAATCGTGACATCCATTGACCATTTTCATGGCACACGTGAACGGAGGTTTGCAAAGGGCCTTCCATCAGTGCCTGTTCTAGGACTTCACAGGATGTTCTGGGAGGAAAAAAGAAAAGAAAAAGAATAAACCATTGCATGTTCTGTGGTTGAATTAATACCATTGCACCTGTGCAGAACGGATTTATTCATGCTATAAAATATCAATCCTTCTCTCAAGTAGTTGCAGAAAAATGTCAAGAGCTTCTCAGCCATAGCATACACTGCTTTTGATAACATTGCATTCCTAAGTTTTCTATACATACTGCACACAATAATTACAATCTGCTTTTACATCTGCCAATGCACATAGCATCACTCATACAGCCTGCCTTGCTGTGCCTTTGGTGGGGCTCTGAACTGGTCTCTCTGAGTACAGCCACTCCAGTTAACATAAGAATGGGACCATGTTGGCTGAGGGAAATGCCCAGCTACCCCTGGCAGACTGACCCAGGCTGCATGTGTCTAGTATGCAACCTGGGGCTTTCCTCCTGGTGAAGAGCGGCTACCTCAGAGGTTATCCATATGCACAAGGCCATTGTGCAAGCAGGAAAGAAGCAGTTTAAACCCTCTCTTATTCCCTTTGTCTCCTTATTTAAAAAAAAAAAAACCAGGTATTTGACCACCCTAGTGCAAAGCCCAATGGAAAAACTCCCATGGACTCTGGGCCGGGAGGGGGACGGGGTGGCTGGTGAAGAAGAGATGCAGATCTTTTCATCCTGCATAAACAAATGGTCTCTATATGCCACATCTGGTATTATTATTCTTGGAAAGAAATTCAGATCTCAGGCATATCAACTCATCCCTCCTCTGGCTCTGCAATCTAACATGCCGAGCTTCTGCTTCCTGCAGACCCCTTGTTCTGACACCAGAGGTCCGCAGCTAATCTTGTCCCCTTTTGCTGTGTTTTGTGCTTCTTCTGACAGCACATCACTGCTCACCGAGCGCCACTCTGCTCTAGTCTGACTACCATGTACCATCAGCATGGACAGAGGCTGCAGAAGTTTAACACAACATTGCTATTTACCAGTTGTAAAAGACTGGACAGTCTTTCTCCTTTGCCAGCTCTGAAGCCGACAGGAGCTGTGAGACTGCAGCACACGGCAGCAGGTCCTATACACAGACTACAAACCCAACCACAGGCACTGCTTTTTCTTTTTTCCTTGGGATTCGCAGCTCTCCTTCCAGATCCTTTGGGGCTGCCTAATTCCTCAGATCCCCAAAGCCACCCATGCCCACCTAAAGCAGGCACGCAGCCCCGCAGTGAGCAGGGGGACCCTGTGAGCCCCAACAGCCAGACAGACCTTGGCCTAGCACAAGCTCCTTTGCACTGACAGCACTCCCAGAATGCGTCCAGGGGCGCAGGTTTACCTGCTGCCACCCTCTCCTCCTGCCACGTGCTCTCACCGCCTTGCTTGGGCCAGTGTGGGCACAGACCTACAGCTACAGAAAAAAGCTGGGTTTTTGCCACACTAGTCCCTTACACCAGTTCACCACCAAGTCAGGACAGCCCAGCGCTGGCCCATGCTGAGGAAGCCCCTGCAGAGGCAGCAAGCCCTGCTTTGTCAGGCTGTACAACAGACCCCTCAGTGTTGCCCAGCCAAAACCCAGAGGCAGCAGGTTCTCAGCCTGGTACAAGCTACCATCAACACCCCAATCTCTGTGGGACCGGGACACTTCACAAGGAGTATCCTGCTGGGCCTGGGGAAAGCCAGCAGAGAGCAGAAACAGCAAGACCAAGCCACACTGCAGTCCTGCAAACACAGACATGTGACAGATTCACATCTCATCATCATCCTCATCTTCTTCCCACTTCCCTCCACAGCACCCTGAGGCCGGACATGGCAGCCACTGGGAGTGCACAGCAGGAGCAGCAACATCATGTCCCGTACAGAAGCAACTGGACCAGATTTTGGCCTGATGCCCCGGGCAATGCACAGCCCTAGATGCTCACGCCGCCACCTCCAAACTAAGCTGTTACCTTGTGTTTGAGATGTGGCATATCCTTTAAAGAGAAACCGAGGCTTGCCTGGAGGAATTAAAATACAACCGTTAGCTACCGCCTCTCATGACTAAACCCCAAACTCCACAAAGGAGAGCTGTGTCTTCATTCCCCCTTCCAGACAACGCGTTGTTGCCGTGATTCACTAACTACCCTTGCTCCCCTCGTTCACACCAGCTTTCTGACCTGCCCACGGGCAGCCCGAGTGCAGGCAGCAATTACATTTTCAGGACTCCACCGAGACACAAACAATAAATAAGCAATAAAAACCGCAAACGTGCAAAGAAACTAGAGATCACTGTCCTTTAACCTCGGGACACCGAGAGCATCAGATGGGATCTCACCCGGGTTATGCCCAAAGCGTGCCTTGCACACGCCGTCCCACCAGCCCGGAGCGCTGAGTGACGGCCAAACACCACGCAGTTCCGGGAGGGGGATATAATTAACGAATGCTTGATGATGACATAATTAAAACATTTACTGCAGCCAACCCTGAAGCTAACGAACATCACGGGAATTACAGAAAACATTTTGACCAGAACTAC